AACTGAGTTTTCGATAAAAATATCTGTATATCTATTTATTAGGGACAGTGTTTCAATAAGTACTACACTAAAGTTGAGGGAACTGTATTCCTGGCTTGTGTTCTAGATCCTAGATAGACGAAGTTCTTCACTACTTCTTAGCAATAAATGCCAATGCAGTCTTAAAATGATGGTGTTTCGAATAAAACTATTTCGGATTTGGAAGGATAATAAAAAGAAAATCCAACTTATAAATGTATATGCAATTACTTTTAATATAATTTTTATTTCATAAACTAAGTAAAGTACTATATGTTCAGTTCATTCTCTTAGAACAGCAGCTGTGGCGCGGCGTAGTGAGACGCGAAAGGAGCTGCTGCATAGTGGGTAAGTGCTGGAACAGCCAAGGGCGCAGCAGCGGCATAACGAGCGACAACTGGAGCCGCTACTGGGGCAGCAGAAGCAACAACTGGAGCAGCAGCAATGCCATTATAATTTCTCGCGATCACTTGACTGCTTGTAGCGGTCACTACAGGCGCAGGAGCACCAAAAACAGCGGCGGGTGCGGCATAAGCCAATGGAGCAGCGGCTAGGATGCCGGGTTTAGCAGCAGCGCAAGCGATGAGAGCAAAGAGTACAATAGCCTTAAATAAAAGGATACAAGTTACTCCTATTATAAAAATTCTTTTAAATTACATACATATTTATTCGATTTCTTGTGACTCAAAATACTTACGCATTTGAACATGTTGTGGTTTCTTCGCTGTGTGTATTTTGCTTAAACAAGCTTAAGACAAGCGAGTGATTGATACCAATAACCAAATCGGTTTGATATTTATAGTACAATGGTAAAATGTAGTACATATAAAATTTAGGGGGTAAAATTACTAATTTCAATTCCTGCACGCATGCGAACTTCATACCGTTTTATGCTTTGTACAGTTTAGCTTAAACGTGTACGGCAGCTTCTGAAATTCCAATATTACAAATGCACACCGTGGTCTTATTTCTGTCGTTTACAACTAAGACGATATACTTACATATGAAAATATATATATGTATATATATATACCCTGTAGGGAACTCAACTAACTACAAATGCACTATAAGTTCATTATTTTCAAACTAGGTATGACGACGACTCGACTACTTGACTTTGCTTTCAACTGACTACTTTAACATAACGATGTCGTGCAAAAAAAGTTTGTTTGTTTTAAGCTAACTACAAAGTGGTTATTTATAAGTTGACTTGTAGTGCGCTAATTAATACAAATTAACAAATTTCACACACATATATTTCTTCGGTTGAACGCTGTATGACTTTGAAACAAATTAAAAGTTAGCCGTATTAATTGGGCCAAAAGTTGGTTATTTTATTTAGTAGTCGACTACGAAATTTCCGACAGGGTACATACAGATGTTCATACATATGTATGCACAGCTACTAGGTATGCAGCTAGATATTTGTGGTCAGTTCCAGTAGCGCCTCGATTAACATTTTGATTGGAGACTCAGTAAGCAAACTAATTAATTGCACTGAATTGTAATGAGGTGGAATTCAAAAATATTTGGTAAATTTCGAGCGAAACAGAAAAAAAAACATTGTCTTTGAAGGCCAATGTCACTGCAGTGTTTGAAATATTTGCAGATATTACCGTTTTGATTCACCGTTTACAAGAAAAGGCCAACTTAACTCAGTTAAGGGGTATCAACATAAAGTAATTCGGGCAAAAATACTGCGGAAAAATTCCGTTTCGAGGTATCTTCACTTACACAAAAAAATATATTTTTTACATTACATACAGAATTTTTTGAAACAGGTTTTCAATAACATAAATGCATTCCTGGTACCAAGTGTACCTGTTGTTCACCCGGAGCCGAATGATACGGTCGATCGCGGTCCAAGAAAAGCCATGTACATATATCCAAAGTTTTTAATTTTGCAGAAAAATTTGAAAAACTAAACGAGTTGCACAGCGACAATTTTCTAGATTGAAGCTTCTAAAAAGTGTCGCTGATTTTATTCCATACAAAGTTACTAGTATGTTCGGCAATTTGTTTTGTATGGAAGAAGATAATGACACCATCCGCGAAAAAAATAATTTACAAAAAATCAAACACGAATGCCTAGCCTCTTGAAACTTGCATGTGCAAGTACATGGCGTATGAGTAACATTCTCATGTTGTCTGGGGGGTAACTTATACAACGTGTACTTACGTTCAATTTTAACATTACCGTGATAAATGGGTAGATCCAATATGGAACCGCCATTTCTGCCAATTGAAAATTTTTAAGTGAATCCAATCGACTCTAATATTTTTGTCCACCATATTGGGTCCGCAATTTGTAATTTTTCCAATCTGACTTCAGATTCGTGATCACTGATCCCGATACAAGTAAGGAATTCTAAGTTAATTTCTATATCGAATTTTGGACAGAGCTGCAGGATGGTCTTGCCTCGAGGAGAAAACTTTTTAGTTTCAGTTCTTAGGTACCACCTTAAAGACATTAATTGAAAGCTCGCCAAATATTATTAAAATATTGCTAAGGAAGTATTTTTCTTTTTAATCTATATTTTTCTTTAATCTACTATAAACAACTTTTTTTGATTGCTGATTGTAGGTGTCAGCGAAAAATGTACAAAGGCGACCACCAAGTTCGACAAAAAAATGCATTTTTTCTTTTTCGAAATTGCCGTGCAAAAATACTCGATACTCAGGGGTGTACGGCGAACTATTTTTTATTTGCTTATAAGGTGGTACGGTCTAATTTACATACCTACATACATACATATATGTATACTCTGGCATTTTACGTATATTGCAGATATAATATCTAAATATAAATTGTATATAAATGTGTATGTATGTATGCAGTTGAGTGCCCGTGGTTTTTGTGGTTACTTTCAGTAGCGCATCGTTTAACATTTTGATTGAAGACACATTATGTAAAATAATGAGATGCACTGAATTGTAATCAAGTGGAAGCGTTAACATTGATTTGCATTTCACGCTTTAATTAAAGTGCGTAGGTAGTGTTTTGAGCCTGTAGCATTTATGTATTTTCAATATTTACAGTTATTGGAATATAAATTCTCAAATAAAGTAATTTTTAAAGGATTAAAATTATTCAAAAACTACAAACATTCAACAAGGGACATTTTCACAATGGATAGTTTACTTACATTCGGCAATGAATGCCGACTTTCAGTTAAAAAATTGAATTGAAACTATAAAAGTTTTATTTAAACTCTGAAAACAGCTCATAAAGTATTTTACATGCGTTTGAAAATAAGTCTTTCTTTTTCGAACTGCAATACAATACTAGAAGTTCTCATAGTTTCAGGCCATTTGTACTAGTAGTTTAGACTATGTATAAGTACATTTTAAATGCCTCTCAGGAGTTTATGTCAATGAATGTCAAAATTTGAATAGATAATACATTTCGCGAGCACAGAATCATCGAGGAAAATTTGATACCAAATTCTCACATAAGCTGCATTAATGTTCTCGTACAAAAACCGAAGATAATACATCCCGCAGGTAAGGCTTTTCAAAGCTTTCTATACTCGTAGGTTTTATGTGGATGCCCACAAGTTGAAAACTATCTCGATTATACAAAATATTTAGAAATCCTATAAAATATTTCCACGTGGGTCTGCACTAGCCCTCAGCTTATCTCGCGACTAAAGCTTATCCCGCTTGTGAAGAATTAAGGCAATTCGTGATCAGCTAATGCAAGCGACAGCAGACGTTCTTCGAGTACCTTTGGCGCTATTTTCGGGAGAATTTTCATTGGCAAGAGACAAAGAGAGCGCAGGATCTTGGTTTATAAAGCTGAAAAAGGGTATATACTTTTATACATTCGAGTTACTTGAGAGAATTAAGGAAACACATTTATGGGAAGTCCCTTTGACGTTCTCATGTTTCAACTGGAATAATAAAAAAATTAATTTCTCGAAAATTTTGTATGGCAAACCATTTAGATAATAAAATCCTACCATTTTCCATTGTCAAATGATTGCCATTTCACAATGTGGAACGCTCTACGAAATTACGTAAAAATTATTTAATTAACCATTCCAACAAAATTGGGAATTTGTGAGTGAGACCTATTGCACGATCTATGGGCTGTGTTAAATATGCAAATTAGCCGAATACAACTTAGTGAACAAACGCTAATGAACGCTGAGAAATATTCTACACGCAAAAACTGGCTGTTTGGTTTGCATTGTGGGCTGTCAGCGTCATCGGTCCGTAATTCTTCTGAGAACGACGAAGGACACCATAATCAATGATTTTTTTTACGAAAGACCGTGTTTATGCAAAATGTCCTTTAAAGACAAAAACATCAAGTTATGAAGGATCAATTGGCCGGATTGTGGAAAAATGCCACCAAAAATTACCTCGAACTGATTAGGTCCCTAAAAGGCCCCGTGGAGGGTATTTTTATGGTATATATTGATTTCCACATACATATAATGCCATAGTTGAAAACTATGAAAATAAAAATTCCGTTGAAATTTAAATATTTAGGAGAAGTTGACAAATCCTGCTGTTTCACATGCGAATTAGTTTCAGTATTATCAAAGAAAATTTATATCGTCGTTTAAAGTACAAAACCGCGTATCAACAAAATGCAAAACCTCGTATGTTAATTATGTAAATTATATTCTAGAGAGTAAAAACACTCATATTTCAAAATGGTTCTCTTTTTAATAAAGCAATCGCATTTCTGGCTAGTATATTTCAGGACGAATGGATAAGAATTGAGCCAAGAGCTTGTGTGAGCAAATCCAATTTTTGGCTGCAAATGTCAGTTACGCGGTTTTGCAAAATGAGCATACGCGGTTTTGTACTTTAAACGACGATATGCTGATCAGATGCAGACCTTCTTTGAAATTTATTGAGGCCAGAGTCTGAAATATTAGTTGTGCGACTGACTTTCATAATAAAAAGCATTCATAGAAAACGATAACGGTAAAAAATAAATAAAAACGGAGGAACATTTAAATGTTTGCGAGTCTATTTAATTATCCAAACACAAAATGAAGATCTCATTCTGAAACCAAGTTTTTGTGGTACTTTTTAATTTACAACAAAACCGGAGCAGCAGCAGCGGTGTACTTCAATGGAGCTACTGCAGCGACAGGTGCAACTGGGGCGGAGTAGACAGCAGGAGCGGCATAGCTAGCGGGCACAAAAGCAGCGCCATAGTTTTGTCTCACATCAACCGAACTGCTGGAGTAAGCGGCATCCAAATGTGCATTAGCATAGGCGATAGGCGCAGCAGCGTAGGCGGCTGGATAAGAGGCAACAACAGGAGCAGCAGCCAATGGGGCCGCAAATAGTTGTGGCTTGGCGGCAGCGCAGGCAATGAAAGCGCACAGGACAATGATCTGTAATAGAAGACAGGTTAAAAGTTAAAGCAAATGAATAAGACTTAGTATTTAGGATTGTATTTAGCTTACAAATTTGGCCATTTTTGTGTTGTTTGGTTGCTAAGTGAAGCGTTTAGAGAACAATGTGAATTTTGGTAATGTCATCGTCAGTTAACGCGCAGTGCTTATATACCCTCCAAAATTGGTAGAAGTTGCATAATTCAGTTCCGCACATTGCCATTGAAACGTGTGCGGAATTGCACTTTGTATGCTGGTGAGCATAAACGTTTTTGATATGCGTAACTGCATACAAAAAAAAAAAATTATAAATAAATAAAGGGGAAAAACAATGTTGTATTTATCTACATCTGTTTGGAGCTAAATGCTCTGCTTCTGCTTCTGCTTTTGACTTCTATGTGTAGGTGGGTGGTTGTACAAAAGCGCATACATATGTTAACATTTTGTATTTGTTCATGAGCTATTTATGCAGGAATGTTGGTATACAAAATGCATACCAGCGTGGGCCGAAAATCTGCTTTTTTAGAATTTTGGTTGTTAATAGCAAAAAATATGGTTCATTATGCTCTAATATTAATCTGTGTGAAAGATGACAAATTTTTGGTCAATATCATAGGCTCGCCCAAGTTCATCAAAGTTCAATTGCTCAAAAAATTAAAAATTCATAAATACATTATTAATATTTTTATTTTTTTTTATAAAATTGTATGTATATTCGAGAGTATTAGTCCTAAATAATTTGGTGTATGGACCTTTTTTGTAGAGAATCGAAGTAAGCTGAGAAAATTTTTTTTGCACTTGAAAATTAAATAAAATATAAAAAAGAAAAATTTTCTTTTTAGACAATAAAGTCAAAAAATAAAAAGAAACTTAAGCTAAAAACAAAAGAGCAAATTAAAAAAGAATACAAATAAAATAAGTTCCAGAAAATTTTAAAGATTCAAAAAATTAAATTTTTTTTGTTTGAAACAAAATCAAAAAGTTAAAAGAAACAAATTAAATTAATATATTTTTCTTTTCAAGACAATAAAATCTAGAAATTTAATTAGAAAAAGAAAAAATATATTTAAATAAAAAAAAAATAAATTTGTTTCGAAAATATTTTGTTCTTTTTATAATCTAGGTTCTATGTGTTGGAAAAAAATTTTTGTCCGATTTTTAAATTGCCTGTAATTTATGCCCAGTTGTAAAATGACTAAAAAAAATTTGGTCAAGTTAAAACTTACACAAATTTTATTTATCTTTTATGTGACTAAAAATATAAGTTGAAATATTCCTATTTTGTTTTTAAAAGACAAACATTTTTTTTTTAATGTATATCCAATTTTTAAATATACTAACACTCGACAGTATCACAATGTATGGACCGAAAAAAGTTGAATTTGTTCCAAGCGATTTTTAACACTCACTAGGAGAGTATTTCAGGGGCGCAACTGCTAAATCGTTTTTTTTATATATTTTTTGATGTGATATGTCGTTGTTAAGGTATTTAGAAAACCTATAATTGTATATACATGACTTTGCAAGCTATCTTCATTTGTCTACAAAAGGCACCCTGTACCTAATATTTTGTTTCAGAGAAATAATCTCCCTGCCAAATTATAATAATGACCAATGACCAAAATTTTGAAATTACCAAAAATTTATGTCTAGTTTAAAGTTACACAAATTTTTCGTCCAGAGTGTGAATTACCAAACAATTATGTCCTTTTTGAAATTTTTAATTATGATCGATTAACGTACATTTAAAAAGGGCTGAAAATGTATGTCCCATTTTAAATTACCATGCAATTTTGTTCAGTTTTAAAATGAAAAAAACTTTTATCACCAAAAATGTATAGCCCAAGAGGAGGTTATCAATTCATCGAAATATTTTTTTTACACATGTGTTACCGGATAACATTGGGCCGGTTGAAACGTTTATAATAATTCTTTTGGATCATAAAAAAACTAACGGTGCTTCTAAATTTGTATATAAGCATTCAATTCGGTTACTTAAAAATTGCTTGTAACCAAAAATTTTGTTAAAACTCCTCGGACGAGTTCGGTTTTGCTCAAATCTAAAAAGATAACCGAACGTTCAGATCGGTATCTGAGTTTGGTTGGGTACTAATAAAATATCATATTTTCACTGATTTTAGGTGGAATACCAACGCAAATATTTCTATCAAAACAAAGAAAGGCACGATTGACTGTAAATACAAAGATACCAGTGTACATATGTAAGTACAAACTTACATCTTCATAATGCATAATGCATTTGCAACGTAGAAGGAACATTTGCTCTAGTTTTATCTCTATTTTCTCATTTTTTGACTGCTTAAATACATTACTTATTAATGAAAATGCAGATAGATGCAAATTTTACGTATCATTCGATTATGCATAATGCAGTGACGACACACACACACATATGTACATACATATGAATGCAATTTTGCATTAGCATGAAAATAAAAAACAAACCAGGTTAACGTAGAAAGGCTTCCTTCGAAGATGAGAAAATCACAACATAGATATGCTGAGTATAAGGAATTTATTATGCAAAATTCATCGATACACAAACAAAAACTAAGCTATATTAAGACCGAGGCAAACGCGCAGAGAACAGCATTGCAAAAGTTCAATTTATACAAAAACCAACATTTATGTATGTATGTGTGCATATATGTATGTATATGTGCTTTATATGAATGTATGGTACAGGGTCGGACTAACATGCGCGAGGGCTCAACGGCCGGAGGAAATGTGGGGCTCTGTAGCGATTACCTGTAATGTAATGTATTGCGTTTTCTTTAGCTAAATATACATTTTTCGATCACAACTTCATAGGTTTGATAATTACATATCAGTTAAAAAATTCGGAACTCGGAATTAGTCAACTCTAAACCATAAGGAAAAAAGTACCTTTTCATTTCCTTAAAATTACTTTTCCTGGATTTTATCCCAAAATATTTTACTTCCTGTTTGTATAAATTTTTCTGCTCCTGGTAAAACAATTTTTTTCCCAAAAAAAAAAAATATTTGCTAGAAATCCTTTTTTTTCCAAAAATGTTTCTCTCAAGCGAATATTTTTGCCTAAATGTATTTTTTCTTAAAATGAGATTTAAAAAAAAAATTATTTTTTATTAAACTAAAAGCAGTCTTTTCCAATTTGTGGTAAATTTTTCTATTTTGAATATTTCAAAAATTGTACGATAAAAATAGCTAAATATAAATGATGCACATTACAAAAGACAAACAACTTTAAAATTATTTGTTATATTTGTTATGCATGCAAAACAACGCCTGCCTTGAGTTATGCTGAACCTTTTGTTCAAAAAAAAAAACATTTTTTAATTTAAAAAATTAGCACAAGCTGAGAACTGTCACGGTTTGTGTCTTGTAAACTAATAGTAAATTAGATTTTCCTTTCCAACTTTTGTGCCACCGCAAAACCCAACACTGAAAAAGAAAAAGTAACAGCAGAGTCTTATGTTTTTGAGGTTGCTGATTACGACCCTAGAGCATGATTTTAAAAATTCATAATGGCGAATCCAATATGGCGGCCAAAAAATTAAAATTTTTCGGTTCCCTTGAAATGTTTTCCTCTGAGGTTCTTCGGGCCGCTTATTACGAATCTGAAGTGAGGTTGGAAAAATTCAAATGGCGGACCCAATATGGCGAAAAATATTAGAAATCGATTAGATGAGCTTTAAAACTTTACAATCAAGGGTTCTTAAGGTCTCTGATTACGATTCTATTGCTTTAAAAGGAAACATATCTACTTTTTAAACTACACTTTATTTTTAGAAAACAGCTTTCTAAAAGACAGAGTAACGCCTCGTCGTTAGATCGCAGATATTTTAATTAGTCTTTCGAAAGACAGGTAAGAGCTTTCAAGACAGTTGCCAGAATTGCCCTGTACAAATTTGCAAACAATTAATATTCTAGTGATTGCCGCGGCCCGTCGGCCCATGCCATAATCCGGCCCTGTATATGCATATAAATGCCTGTTCATATGCGACGTTTACAAGTTTAAGACATCACAAACAATAAGAAAACAAGACGACACCGATTATGTTGTTAGAACAGATGACAAAAGTTGTGCACTTCTTCTCGATGGCTCGAGCAGTATATCGTCGCAGCAATGAGAGTTTTTTTTCATGCATTTTTTTTCTATATAGATGGGTACAGTCTTTTTTTCGCTGTTATATTGTTGCTTTTGTATTCACTTGTACCAATACATAGAAAAATCGGTGATGACATATACATACATACACATACAACACATAGACAATAACTGTAAAGTTGGTACTTGTATCCAGGCGAAAAGTAGGTGAAGAACGACATTAAAGTTGCAACACAGCTGGCACCAACCAACAAATCGACCGACACTTACAGACTGTGGGAAAATATAGAAAACGATGATGGTGATGATGATGATGAAGAGAGCAATTGAGAGAGTATCTATGTGTTATAGAGTGGGCAAATGGGAGTGGTGGCAAGTAAACAATGATGAAAACTTTTTATATTAATATCAGAAGAATTTACTCTGGAAAATGGATGTTGCTCGATATAGTACTTGTGCAACGGTACAGTTGTGTTTGCGAGTGTATGCTCGCAGTTACTGTTTTTATTGCTATTGTTGCTTATGCTACCAGCTGTTTTATACTTTGCGCAATTTCAAGTTGCAAATGTAATTACGCTAAGTGCAGGATTTCTTGTCTTACGATTCCCAGAACATGCCTCATTTGAGTTTGGAATGAAATTTTGCAACTAAGTGAGAAATTATTGCGAAAAGATAACAGACAAGAAAATAAAAATGAAAATAGACAAGCCAGGCCTTTGATGTTTAACGAAAGTGATTACAATAAAAAAATGAGAAGGTTAAAGAAAAGTAGGTATTTTGCTTTAATATATCAAGTTTTAAAGTAATTTGTATAACAAAAAAAAATGTATGGTCTGTCCGCTGGTAATCTTAGGATGAGCTTGTCTTTCAAAGTTTTAAGTGAATGAGCATTTTTTGAGGTGAATCTTTTTTTAGCGGGGTAGTGAAATAAGTAATCGCAACGGAAACATGCAACGGAGGTGCAACCATTTTCCCTTTCTCTGGTTCCGCCTGCAGCAAAACCGAAGGCGAACACGAAGAAGATGATCCCGAAAACGAAAGCGAGCACGAAGATGAATGCGAAAACGGAGACAAGCACGAAAACGAAGACGAACCCGAAAAGTAAAACGAACACAAAGAATACGAATGCGAATACAAAGACCACGAAGGACCCTACAAGCAATTGAAATTGCGCAACTACGACAAATATGTATACGAATTAGGGCCCGAAACCGAATACGAATACGATTGCGAATACAAAGACGAAGAAGGACCCAAAAACAACAACGAATATGTATACGAATTAGGGTCCGAAACCGGAGACGAATTCGAATACGGGGACAACTACGAAGACGAATACGAATGCGAATACGAATACAAAGTCGAAGCCGAAGCCGAAGATCAGTACAAGCGAGGGTCTGTCTTGGAGCAATCAATATATATATATAAATATACAACCGTGTACGCTAAAAATTCCTCCGAATTCTAGTAACATGCTAGGTTTGGGACCCGCCACGTTAAATAAAGGGTCAATTTGGAGTAATGGGGAAAGTGCCGATCACCGAAAGATTGATCCGAATGCAGCATTACCAAAAAATTTATCAAAGCTTAAAAAGACGCTTCCTTATTAAATTTTAAAGCCGTCGCTATTATGCAGTGCAGGTCCTGATCACATGATTTCACTTTCAGTGGCTTTTACGATGCAGAAAGTTGGGCAAATCGATACAAGTGATTTAGAAATATAAAAACGTCTATCAAATCGATGCACGAACGAGATTAAAAACCCGTTTTCCCGAAGACATTTATTCAAAGGGTTGCCACCTTTTTAAAATTCAAATTTATTTTTTTTTTTTATTAAATATTACAAACATCACATATTGTCAAACGAAGTACTTATGTAGATTTAAAAAAGATTTCTTAAATTTGTAAGAAAGATTTTAATTTTGAAAAGGATTGCCACCTTTTTAAAAGTCAAATTCAATTATACAAAATGGATATCAATCGAAAGAGGTACAAGAAATCTTTGTATCGAAAATATTTTTCAAGTGCGTGGCCACCTGTTTAAAATTCAAATAAAATTGCAAGCTAAGTAAATTAAAGGTTGCCACCTATTTACAAGTCTCATTAATTTTAATCGGTTAGGTTTAAGGATGTATTATAATCAAGAAAGTCAAACCAAATAGTTTTAAGAAAGCTTTATTTAAGAAACAATTTTGTAGAGGATTGCTATCTGTTTCAAATCGAAATTCTATTTTAGTGACATTCAATTATATAAGCATAATTAAAAAAATATATTTATAGTATATAGACTGGCGTTAAAATGTACATAAGGTGCTTTTATATTGAAAAAGCCAATTTAATTGAAATTTAACACTTCTCTTTTGTGTTGCATTTGAAATCATAAATCGGCACGATGTTCATATAAAGTTAAGTTATACATATTACAATAAAGTGCATGCATTCTTTAGCCACCTTTTGTGCCAGTGAACTAATTATCTATGCACCCACTAACTTTCCTCAATGCCAACTGTTAAGAAAAAGCTTCCAAAGTTTACGGTATAAAAACGTGTATTGGCAGCAAAGAAGACACATTCACAATTCAATTCGCTAAGCTAACGCAACAAGGGACGAATAAAAATTAACATCGAAAATGACTAAATTCGTAAGTATAAACTTTTAAGTTCAACTTTATTGCATTCATCTGAAATTTGCTTAGATCCTAAATTATCGCTGCCATTTTCTTACTTTGCAGTTGATTGTCCTGTGCGCCTTCATTGCCTGCACTGCCGCCAAGCCAAGTTTGCTAGCTCCTTTTGCTGCTCCATTAATCTCAGCTCCCCTTGCCGCAGCTGCATTTAATGCACCACTGGATGCCGCCTATGCTAGCAGTCGCCTCGATGTTAACCAGAGATTTGCGGGCGCTTTTGTACCTACAGCATTTGCCGCAGCTCCAGCAAAGCTTGTGGCATCTGCTCCAGTCGCCACATCTTTAGCCGCACCATTTGCTGCGCCTCTGGCTGTAGCTCCAGCAAAACTTGTTGCCTCCGCTTCAATTGCTGCACCATTGGCGGCTCCATTGGCCGCTCCTGTTGCCTACACCAACCTTCCTCTGGATGCCGCTTATGCTAGCAGCCGTCTCGACATTAACCAGAGATATGCCGGCGCCTTTGTGCCCACCACCTTCGCCGCTGCTCCAGCAAAACTAGTAGCTCCTGCCCCAGTTGCAGCTCCTTTGGCCGCTCCAGTGGCTGCCCCAGCAAAACTTGTAGCCCCGGCTCCAGTTGCCGCTCCATTGGCCGCTCCTGTTGCCTACACCAACCTTCCTCTGGATGCCGCTTACGCTAGCAGCCGTCTCGACATTAACCAGAGATATGCCGGCGCCTTTGTGCCCACCACCTTCGCCGCGGCTCCAGCAAAACTAGTAGCTCCTGCCCCAGTTGTAGCTCCTTTGGCCGCTCCAGTGGCTTCCCCAGCAAAACTTGTAGCCTCGGCTCCAATAGCCGCTCACCTTGCCTACACTAACCTACCTTTGGATGCCGCTTATGCTAGCAGTCGCCTTGACGTTAACCAGAAATATGCTGCCGCTTTCTTTCCCGCAGCTTTCACCGCGACACCTGCCAAGCTTTTAGCTCCAGCTGCACCGGTGGCAGCCGCATCATTTTCTGCACCAGTAGCTTCATTAACGCCGCTGAAGTACACCGCGGCCGCGCCAGCTCTATGGTAATTTCTACCAACCCCTTGGACACGCTGTTTATTATTGCCTATTTAGTAGATAAGTGTATTTGTATGTATGTAAATAATATTTAAATCGAATGTAATAAAAGTTTGTATTTAAAAACTAAAACTGTGTTTGGTGGATTTTGGGTAAAATTGTTCAACTATCTCAAAGCTTAATTGAAGGCAAGTAACTTAAGCAATTCACTTGATGGTATGCGTCTTGAGGTTGACGCACAATGGTGGAGCCTGCCTCGGAACGGCAACTGTTTTTTAACGAAAAAAAAATTTCAGAACCTTATTCCCGACAAGGAAGCTTGACATCGATAAAAAGTGATAGACAGTTAGAGCGGTTAGAATGAACCAGTGCGACTTTGGTGGTTAACGTTTGGGTTCATACTTCAGGTGCATACTACAATAGGGACTATCGTCAAACTTAGAGGCGAAGAGTGCTAGCTGTTTCGGGAAATGGACACCCTTGTACTGCTGAAGCCTCCGACTGCGTCCCTTATAAAAGGGATCACTACATAGCTAGACTATGACCAATCTAAGTTTTCTCCATTGGCTTCACCTCAAATTCATGAGTAGACAAAAGGCAGTAGTTGGAAGCAAGCCCCCTGAGCTTTAACATGGATGGACCGAAACTTGAGGAAAGGGTCGATGAAGGGGTCTCTTTAAAAATCAAAGTAAGGCTTCCAAATCATTGAATTATTTTGCAGACAGTAGTAGTTATTTAGCTGGCATAAGGGAAGCAGTCGATTTCTTCCTCGATCTACTCTGGTAACACAGCGGCGAGCTTGGATTCTGAGGGCAATTTAGTTGGCTCTGTATAGTAGTAGCTTCGAGTCGATCTCATTGTGACAGATGGTTGGAAATATAGCGTTGAAGTACCTTTGACTATATAAGGAGAATTTTTGAATGGACGAAGCTCTTATCACTTAAGCGGCATCTTAGTGTCTAAGTTGTTTGGTGGTTCATGAAGTAAAATCACCTTAAGCCTTTTTCTTTAGCTTTCCGCCTGTCAAAGGCTCTTAGAAGCTATTCGGTACTGACACCTATCGCCTGTTCCCTAGACATGCATTGGTACTTTTCGTGTCGCTAAGGAATTATTTTCGGTATCTTTTTTTAAGCAATTCTGTTTTTTTTTGTGCCCTTCCGTGAGTTTTTTGGACCTTTTCCAAATTTTTCAGTATGATGGAGAGTTTTTTCGATACCAATTCGGACTTTTCGGGAGTGCTAAGGATTTTTTTCGGTAACTTTCAGGTTTTTATTGGGCGCTTTCGAGACTTTTAGAAACTTTTCAAGACCCCTTCGGAATTGTTTTGGGATTTTCGGAGTTTTTCAATACGCCTTCGGATTCTTTTGGGACTCTACGGAATTTTTTCGAAACCTTTTCGTGATTTTCTCTGGACTTTTCGTGAGTTAGTACATACTATTTATTGAGATTTTTGGAGAACATTCATAGTCGAGGTAGCTTCTCCTAAAGGAGAATCTGCGAATGGTCGCAGTTATTTTTGCTGCACACTGTAGACTAGGGTGGATCGAAAAACTCGAATTTTAGAATTCAGAATCGGCGGGGTGTGGAAAATTTGTATAACCATATCAAGTTTCAGCGCGATAGATTGATATTAACTATTCCCACATTGGCTTAAAGTTTTGAAATTTGCACAACTCGCTGCAGCAATTGACGTCTTCTGGTTTGCCTGCACTCGTCGAGTTTCTGAATTTCACCCTGCGTGCCTCTAGGTCGGGGGTGGGCATACTAGATGTACATAAAGCATGAAAGAGCTTTGTCTACAGGCAGGCTGGAGCCCACCACCGCTCTAGTTCTTTTTCAGCCTATTGTGGTTGATAATTCTGATCCCTTGTTTTGTAATTTCCTCTCATTTGTCGTGATCTTAAGTATTAGGCTCAATGGCTTTCACAAAGAGTGTTTCTGACTGCCTGCCCACTACTAAGTGCTCCTCCTAGTTTACCGCAGTTTCCACTGCCGACTAATAAGAATGTTTTTCCTGTTTCCTGGGCCACGGTCGGCGTCAAACAGATTTGAAGTACCTGGGACTTATCCTGCAGTAGAATTCTTCGCTACTCTCTAAATAGAAGTCAGTGGCGCCTAAAAGTATATATCATTGAAAAGTAACACATGCAGTGTGTATTCAGCCAAGTGTGGTAGTATCAGGGGCGTGTAACTAGATGTTGCATGTTGTTAGGAGCGTATGTTATCCTTTTAGAGATTTTTAGCGATCAATATTAGCGATAGCGAATGTTGGAATCCGGCTGCTGTATTCCAAACTCCTGTGGATGACTCATGTCCGAGCGCCCACTTGCAGGGCTACGAGAGTGCAGATGGTGTGTAAACGTCTAGCGGGAAAATCCTGGAGTTGTACTTTACGGATCCTTAGACGGATGTACACCATGATAGTATTACCAATAGAACGTATGGGTCGATGGCTTGGGCTTCCAGGACTATCTATCCTCCCACCCGTGAGGCAGTCTCTCACCTTGAATCAACGTCAGGCGTGTGTTTGCAATACGGGGGCAATACGCACGTGTCCGACGGCAGCGCTGGAAGTAATGCTGGAACTTCAGCCACTGCATCTATCTGTCGAACAAGCCGCAAATCGGACTCCCGTTTATTTTGAGAGAGAGGGCTTTGACAAAGGTGAGGTTTTGTCATCAAGTAGGGGTTTTTGATAGAAACTATTATACATCAAGGCGACCTGGAGTACCTCTATCATGGAAAGATACACCCAGGTGAGCACATTAAAGTGGTATGCAAATGGCTCTGAAACTCCTGAGGGGATAGGAGCAGATGTTTATGGCCCTAGACTGAAGCTTTCGGTGCTCTTGGGAACTTTTCTCAGCATATTTCAAGCGGAAGTCTATGCCATAAGTCTGTGTGCTGAGATTTACCTTCGGAGGAAGTTTTGAAGCAATACAATTCTGATTTTAAGCGATAGCGAAATCTAATCCTAGATGGTTCTAGAGTGCGTAGAGAGGCTTAATGGTCTGCCTGTGAATAACACCCTCCAATTGGTATAGGTACCAGTGCACATGGGAGTCGAAGGTAATGGCGAAGCAGACCATCTGGCCAGGCTGACAACTGCCACCACCCCGATAGGACCGGAGCCCGTTCTTACAATGGGTATCAACACGATAAAGGAAACGCTGAGGAAGGAAAAGACCAGGCTAAGGGAACTACTTTGGCATAATACCATGGGACTTCGTCAATCCAAAAACTTACTAGGAGGGTAGGGAGGGTACTAGGGATCATTACGGGTGTATGTATAATTTAGGAATCCACTCTAGTGACCTATGTCGCTTCTGTGACGCTGCCAAGGACACTCAATTACACCCCCTTTTGGAGTGTGAGGCCGTCGCATTTATGGCCAAGGGAGGACCAAATACACTTTGTACCCCCGGGCTCAATTCTGAAATTTCTAGAGTCTCTAGGGCTAGGTAAGGCACGGAGATGAGCTAAGGGCATAATATACCTACTGGTCGCCGTACTTTATTCAACTATCTATCTATCTATCTTGAGGCACATGACTATTACACAAAACCCACACTGCCTTCCAGGCAAGCTATGTCGTGTTTTGATTCTAATTTGTAAGTTTTTTAGAAAGTCGACACTAAATAAAAATTGCCAATTTATGCAATGGCTTTCGAGTCGTTTTCCTTGGTTTCTAACAGACAGTCCAAGATCTGTACAGCAAATATATCACAGCTGGGGAGGGAGGAGAAAGAAAGGGATGCGGAGGGAAATTATGATGCTAGTCTTCCTATAACTCACAACAGCCAATGTTTCAAGCTCCAATCCAATACTTGTCTTACTAACGCACGTAGCTATCGATTAAGCGGTTTTTAAGACCCGCTAAAACCTTACCGTAGTTTGATACGATTATATAAGTCTTCTAAACCCCGCCGAATCCGAGTTCTAAAATTCATGTCACTGAGAAGTCACTTGCGCATACCAGTGCTTCTTCGATTCGACCAAAGAGACACCCTTACACCTTCCAAAAGAACGTGATGCCATTTCCAGGAGACGCGAGAGAAACCCAAGCCGTATGTAACCACGGTAGGAGCACATTCACTCACTACCTCATGCAGATCAGGTGGATTTTTTGGTTAGGTTAAATGGAAGTACTGAGAAGAGCAATGGTCACAATAGACCCTTAGAAGGCAGAACACATCTCTCCCACGTGAGCTTCCGCGATAATTTAGTAGCGAGCAAAAAATGCTTAATTTCAAATTTTTTATTGTTGAGAACGCAGTCTAGTTATCTTAATATCATTACATTAAACGAGCAATTCTTGCATATATATAAGTAAATATATACATCCATAGGGTTCTCGGAAACGGATCTAATGATTTTGATAAAATTTTGTGCACAGATAATATTTTGGATTTTAAGATTATCTGAATAGGCATTATCTCCGAGAAGACTCGTACAAGTTTGACACCTATTCAAAATTGGTTACAAATTATCATAATATAGGTATCACATTTCAGTTATTTTACAGACCCCTAATTCAAAAATATTTTTAAATAGGGTTGCCACCTATTTTGAATCGCATATTTATTTAATTTTTTGTTTAGATAAAAAAGTTAAAATATGACTTTTCTTGGGTACCAAGAGAAAGTTCTTAAACAATGCTTACCCTATATACAAAATGTTATCCCTTAGGATAAGGTTGCCACTTATTTTCGATTCTACACAATTTATCTGAAACATCGCAATATGGATATCAAATGAAGGGTATTGTTGAGAACTTTGGTCAGAAAATATTTTCCATCAGGGTTGCCACTCTTCTATGTTTTTATTTTGTTAATTTCAATCAACATTTTTTTAATGTATACATAGCTCATATACGCTCAAGATAAGTACCATTCATTCCAGCGTATTTCGGAATAGGATTGCCACCTAAATTTTAGAGTAAGAAATTTACTTAATATATATCGAAATCTAAATTTTCTTTTTACTCCCAAAATATTTTTTTAAAACTATCAAAATCTTGAAAACGTTAAAACGTATATGCACTTGGTTTTTATGACTAATGTCATGCGGGGCAATCCCCGTTATTCTAATTACTATGCCGTTATGAAACAAATTTTATTACGCTCAGTGTTAACTAAACAATGCATTTGAAATAAGTACATAAATACAATATTTTTTGATTGTTGACTACTTACCAAAAGCGTGAGGTGATAAAGTAATACCGCTTAAATTGATACAATCGCACAAACTTGCACATGCATACGTAAATATGTATGTATATGCAGACATGCTTGAATATCACTTACGCATGGTGGCCCTACAGTAGCAGGGAACGCGTGCGGATATGGCATTTAGCGAAGGCAAAAGGAAAATCCGAAAATCTACTCACTCAAAAAAACACAAAAAACACAACGCACACAAACAAAAATAAATACAACAAGTAAGAAAGTCTAAGTTCGGGCGGAGCCGAACATTAAATACCCGGCGCAAGTATTAAATATATGTTTTCCACCTTTCCGAAAGCTACCGCTACATGATAAGCCGGGGTGTATACATTTTAAGTAAATTAGTGTCCTTAAATTTCGAAATATTGAAATTTCAAGCATATCTCAAATTTACCGTTATATGAAAAGCGGCCTCAATTTTAGTCCGATTTCAACAATTTTCAACGGTTTGCTTTTATGTGGCAAGCACAATAACCATACCGAGCTTGGTACAAATTGCTAGAACGGTTAGCGAGATACATATATGTGATCACAAGTGGGCGGTGCTACGCCCATTTTCCAAAATTTTGTCATAAACGTATTTCTTGGTAAAGAATTGTTGCAATCATCAATTTTGAATAAATTAGCTTCAATATTTACTGATTTATCGAAGATTTTGTATTTCTCGAAATTACCGTTATATGGTATGTGGGCGTGGTTATTGTCCGATTTTAGAAATTTTCGGCCAGTTGGTATGCTGTACCAGGATCAATAACTGTGCCAAGTTTGGAAGAAATTGGTGTAGCGGTTACCAAGATATACACATGAAACCATAAGTGGGCGTGGGTACGCCCATTTCCCAAAATTTTCTAATATTCTTATTTTTCGTCTAAAACTCAATGCAAATATCAATTTTGAGAGAATTATCTTCAGTAGTTACTAAAATATCGCAGTTTAGGTACTTCTTAAAATTACCGTTATATGGGAGGTAGGCGTGGTTATTGTCCGATTTTTAAAATTTTCAGCCATTTAGTATGCTGTACTAAGGCCATCAACTGTGCCAAGTTTGGAAGAAATTGGTGCAGCGGTTACCAAGATATACACATGTAACCATAAGTGGGCGTGGCTACGCCCATTTTCCAAAAATTTATAATATTCGTGTTTTCCGTGTGAAACTCATTGTAAGTATCAATTTTGAATGAATTGTCTTCAGTAGTTACTAAAATATCGCAGTTTTCGTATTTCTTAAAATTACCGTTATATGGGAGGTAGGCGTGGTTATTATCCGATTTCGCCCATTTTCAATACCATCCGTCCCACGCCCAAAAGAAGTTCACGTACCAAGTTTCGTTAAGATATCTCAATTTTTACTCGAGTTATCGTGTGCACAGACGGACGGACGGACGGACGGACGGACGGACAGACAGTCACCGCTTAATCGATTTCTCTTTTCATTCTGATCATTTATGTATACATTTGTCTATATCTATCTCGATTCGTTTTGCCTGTTACAAACAACCGTTATGTGAACAAAATTAATATACCCTTGTGCACAAGTGCGCTCGGGTATAAAAACAAAGACTGCACGTACGTGCCAAGCATTATTGAATTACCCCCGAAGACCTCTAATGGTGCGTGTAACCAACAGAATATGTGTCGAATTGTGCGTGGTCAGTTATAGGCGGCGTGTATATGGTGTGCATGTAAATGTGTAATTGTGTACACAGAAGTGGCGTAGACCTTTGCTCTGGCGAAGAACGAGTATAAAAAGCCAAAACCGTTAACTGATGGACATCATAAGTCAAAAAGTCTTCAGCGAAGCAACACCAAAAAAATAACAACAAAAAAAATAGTAAATCAAATCAAGCAAAATGTTCAAATACGTAAGTGGCATTTGTGGGCACTTTTTATAAACTGTGTCTGGCTTAAACAAATAATTGGATTAATTAATTTTTTATTTACTTTTTGTATAGGTCATTGTCATCCTCGCCATCATTGCCTGTGCCGCTGCCAAACCCAGCCTATTGCACGCACCACTCGCCGCTGCTCCATTCGCCGTTGCCGCGCCAGCACCGTTCATCACCGCCACCAGCAGTCAAGTTGTTGCAAGAACACATAATGGCATTGCTGCCGCCCCCATTGTTGCCGCTGCGCCGCTTGCTGCCCGACTGATCGCGCCAGCTCCACTTGCCGCCGCTGCACCATTGGCAGCACCGATCGCCGCACCACTGGCCCGTTATGCTGCCGCTCCGTTCGCCGCACCACTGGCCCGTTATGCTGCACCGATCGCGCACTATGCTGCTTCTCCCTTCGCTTATTCGGCGCCTTTGGGTGCGCCCCTCGCCTATGCGCCCTCTTATGCGGCGCCTCTGCACTACGCAGCAGCAGCACCTGCGCTGTGGTAATGCTCGACGATGATAACCGAGTTTGCTTAGATTAGTTTAAGAAAAGATTTTGTGAAAAATTAAAAATAAAAAGTAGTAGTTTGTACAAATCATTTTGGCTTCATTTTTTATTCATACTTGGCCCTTTGATGCGCTTGCTTTCTTGTTTTTGATTTTTCTCCCTGTTTTTCTTGCATTGTATGAAATATATTTTCACCAACCTATTTATTCTACAAATGACTGCGATAAATTATTGCTAGCTGAAAGCAAGCATACATCTTATTCACATGCATGTATGTATGTATGT